AACATTTACAGTGTTGCAACAATGCAATTGATTTTCAATACTTTGCATTTTAAAATAAGCTTCTAAATGTCTGGTCAGTTGTCCCTACACTCTTAGAAGAAAAGGTTCTATATAGAACCTTAAAAGGTTCTATCAGCGCTACTGTACGTATTTAGAACTCCAAAATGGTTCTACTGTATATAGAACCATTTTTTTGGTAAAAGGTTCTATACACTCTTAAAAAAGGGTTCCTCTGGGTTCTACATAGAACCCTGGGGTTCCATACTTGGCCAATAGAACCTTTTACCCAAAAAATGGTTCTATATAGAACCATTTTGGAGTTCCATATATGAAGCAGGGGATGGAACCATTTCTGGTTCTAAATAGAACCATTTCTTCTAAGAGTGTATGTAACAGAGGACACGATTCAAAATTGTGGTGCTTCTAATTAAGGGTCCCCTGACATGAAATTTTCAGTTTTTAACATTAATGTTAGTCCCCCTAGCCTGTATTTGGTCCCCTCATGTCTAGAATTTTCAATCGGTGTAAACCGAGCTTTGGCTAGTTTTCTCTTCTCTGCAGCTTAGACGTGCTGATCTTGAATCTCCTCGTTATTTCGTCATAACGAGGAAAGGTTACCTCCCCTTTCTCTGCTTCGCCCGCTCGGAGAATTTGGCTCGCCCATGAGAAAATGAGCTAGGAAGTACGAACGCACGTGCGCGATTTGAGTTTTTCCTTGCAATAGCTTTGAGGTTTGAGTTTTTCCTCGAGAGATATCATGGCTTGCAAACGAGCGAAGCATGGCAGTTGATCAGTGTTCGGGTGTACAAATGAACACAAAAGTATTTTTAGTTCCTTCATCCAAACAATGGGTTAATTTTAATTTCTCTGGAAATGCGCCGACACAACTTCCCAAAGTTTTGTATGGTCCAAACATGTCACCGACGACTGTTTCCTCGACTCGATGAACGTCTGAAAATAAATCGATCGAGCTACCAAGCAACAATTTCTGATTGCGAAGCCTAATCGTTCAAGTTCAGACAGGCAAGTTATTCGTTCAATACTGTTTATGCATTAGTAAGTCATGCCAGTGACTAAAATATCAACTTCACATCGTTTTTTCTTTTAGGATGAAAATAATCGTATTTAAATTCTGAACAAATTATACAGAAAGCGAACAAAGAACATTTTATCTGGACAACTCGTTATGAAATCAATGAGGCATTACACTGCACAACGAAGCTCATACTGTATGTGCATCATCGTGTTTGCATTGGTGAAAGCATTAGAGAGAGCAGAAACTGCGTTACAATGTTAAGATCTTCATTCTCGCGATCAACAGACTGTCCTCTGGTTGCTCAATGCTCATCGCAATAACATTTTATGTGATGGGAATAGATCTAAATACTTAAAAAACTTCTCACGATCTCGATAGCTGTAATCAGGGTGCGATTTGTGAAAAAAACAGAGGGGGGGATGTTTTGAAAAAAAAAATTCATAAAAAAATTCATGAACTTCATCACTGCATTTGCAGGAAAAAAAAATTCTTAATAACTCATGAAGTATCCTAACGCAATTTTTAATAGCTTCCCACACATATATGAACTGTAATCATGCACAAAAAACATGCAAGAATTAAATCAATAGATTAATAGGCTAACGTTAGAGGCTAATTTATATCAGCCTCTCCTGAACCAGGGATTGATTGCAAAGTTAAACCATAATAGAAACAGTTTTACTTCTGCTGTTAAGTTAAAGTTATAATGTTAACGTTACATCGCGATGCTGACCAGTGAAATGATAGAAAAGACGAATGCATTATCTATGTTTGTTAATTCGCCTCATTTGCGCCACAGAACCTCTAGACGCGCGTAAACGCGTCTTTACATTGAATTAACATTGAAATCACTCGCGCCAGATTTCCTTCATTTGCCTTCATTTCTACAAGCAGCTCCACAGCCCAGCGCAGACCTGCAACCGTCTCGCAAGTGTTGATAGGCTATTATACGAGGTGTAACCAATCAGATAGCGCCGTGGGCGGGACATTTAGCAAGTCTGCAGACTCGTGCAGAGCGGCAGCTATGAGAGCCAGCCTATTTTTTTGATCCGTCTCACCACTAGTGTAGGATCACTGATCACACTGAGGGGGGGATAAATTTATCCCCACCGGGGATAAAAATAATTAAGCAGAGGCAGGGATCCATTGACCAGAAAGGGGGAAATCCCACGCATCCCCCCCCCCCCCCCGGCAAATCGCACCCTGGCTGTAATAGTAAAAACCTATAATAGCTCTAGTGAAAGTATTTGAGAATGTTTCGTATAGATACAGTCGGCAACGCGTCATAGTTGGGGGGCGTGGTCGGCGTGGGGGAAAGCAGCGCGACCATCCTATGTATTTGAATGACAAAAATGTCATATTGCGAGTCATTTATGCCTGCCGACCGGCAACGATACATTGCAAATTTAACTGTAATAGGTTATGATTGCCCTTATTTAATTAAAAACTGGGCCAATGACCCAACCAAATGGCCGGAGGTGTCGTTTCCAGACTATTATATCTGGTTGAATCTTCAGGTAAGACATCGCGGAAGCTACCGGCAACACAAGCCTGTAACTCAATCAACTTGCGTATAAGTTACTATAAGTCCATAAAACCATGTCACTTACCAATTGTACGTATGCTTCACTCCAAACTATTAATCCTTTTGTAAAACGGTGATCAAAGTAGTCGCTACGAAGTTGCAGAGGGACTTTGCTGACAGTTATCCGAATTCTCACAGACTGCAGTCTGATAACCTTCAGCTGATAACGCTAATAACATCCCTTATGAAAAACAACTAAAGGAATCTTGTAGTATTTTAGGACAAACTATTATAGTAACGTTAATCCTATAGGAATACTATAGTATTTTGGGACATAGCCTAGAAGTATAGGTATTAATGAACATCACAGAAGTATTATACACTACTATAGAATACTAATAGCCATAGGATTACTATAGTTCTTTTTCGTAAGGGACGTAATGTCAGACAAATCTGGCCCACTGCCTAATACGAGTTAAACATCTACTACTATATCACACAGGGACCTCTACTCACACAGTAATCTAATAAGATATGATTAATTTTGCCATTTTGTCCTCCTATCCGGTTCTGCATGTATGTAAGAAAGGCTGTAGAACTTCAATTTGTAATTTGTTAGTTTATTGGTGGTACAGAAAACGACACCGCAACCCTTCGGCATGATTGTCCCATGTATTTCAATGAGCGCCAAGGCAATGATTTCCCCCACGGGCTAAATTCACACCACGTGACGGGGCGTTCCCGGGGGCGTTCCCAGACCAACCGACTGTATCTATGTAATACGTAGCTATTTCATATGCAAGCATGTCAGCCAATCACAGCAGTGGGCGGTTCCACTGAATCCCACAGCAGACACGCCCCTTCAAATCAGAGGCTAAAATCAGGCTAGGAAATTTGCCTTTTATTTCTAAATTATGACTATTTTTGATCTAAAAAACATACTAACATTATAAGGGCAACCCAGGAAACATTATAAAATAATAAGATAACCCCATGTCCGGGGACCTTTAAGTGATAAAAATTCGCAATCGCAAATGTTGAGACGTTAAATGCACTCAGATGTCCCTCCACCTGCGTCTGACTCTCGATTCATGTTCAATGTCTGGGACTATTGTACTATTGGCTAAAATGGGACACGCCTAGGGCTGGGCGATAAAACGATAATTATCGCGATATTTTTTTTTTGATAAAACGATATCAAGAGGTCGATAAATGTTTGATAATGTTCATGCGCCAAAAGCGGAACGAAACTCATTTGAACCGCGCGCGCCACACGGAGCATTTATCCACTCGGCTCAAAGTCCAAACCCTATGGTCCAAACGGTAGCGCAGACATGCACTCTGATCGTCTCGCTCACAAGATCCAGTGAGAAGCGCTTGAGTTTAGCGAAGAACACAAATGTGAAGTTTAAACCAGTTTAAAGGCAGATGAAACACCGCTGACAAAAAGGAGAAACACTGCGTGCAACGATCCAGTCAGAATCTTTAGCCTACCATGGATTTACTGTAAGGTTAGCCTGCTAATATTAACTGTACCATGAAATGTGAGATATACATACTGAATTGTATAATATTATTAATGTAGACAATGTATTAAATGACTAATGGAATACAAGTACAGTATTTAATAATGTATTTAACTGTTAGGCTACTGTTTTTCATACAAATACCACAGAAATCATAAAGTTATGCCATGGTAGTGAGGTGCTAAGTTATAGACCATTTCACAAGATGTAAACAACACTGGTCCAGAAGCACTTCCTGTTTCAGTTTTTTAACACTACATAAAAGCTGGGATAAAATACAACCAACAGAACATTTAAAACTGAATCAAAAAGTTAAACAAACATCTTTAAGATGTTTTCTTTACATGTGAAATAAAGAAAACAGTTACAAACTGAAACAGGAAGTGTTTCTGGACCAGTGTTGTTTACATCTTGTGAAATGGTCTATAGGCTATGCCTGGTTTTATCTGTGGTTATCATGATCTAAATGCATGAGACTGGGTGACCAATGGTTCATTTTAAAACAACTCAAACAGTCAGAATATTACTTTACCAAATAAAAATGTGGTCGTTAAAAAAAAACAAAAAAAAAACAACAACCAGATTTTACTGTTTTTGTTAATGAACATAAATTTAAAGAGTAGTTTAAAAATACAATTAACACTAGTTATACAACTTTCACTTAGGAGCAAAAATCTGCCTTTAAACTTGAAAGAAGTAAAGATTTGACATATATCGTGATAATTATCAATATTGACTGATATAAAAAAAAATATTGTGATAATTTTTTTTGGCCATATCGCCCAGGCCTAGACACGCCCATATATACTCCACCCAATTTTTTTTTTTTTTTCAATAGGAAGTACAACAGATGGTCAGATTTCACAATGATGAATTCATTTGTAGTAATTGCGACTCTTTGTTTCTTCCTCAGGGTTCGTGCTGCGATGACACTTGCACACTCTGCTTCTGTTATCCTTGTGCCTGGTGTCAGATGTCTCGAGAAATCAAGACTCGTGCTCGCTCTGGCACTGCCACTGTGGTCACCCAACAGGTTATGCATAGTTAGAGGTCAGTTTTGCTGTGATTTCTGGTAGTATGGGCCAAAAAAATCATAAAAACGATGCCCTATACCTAGAGTTGAGATGTAACGGGCAAAGTCTTTTATTATTGTATGCATGACTGCCTGTTTTATAAGTTGTCTTACTCTTAACCTGTTCCGCAACTCTTATATTCTGTGAAGTTCTTTTAAAACTGTTAAGTGGATTACAAATTACAAAAAAATAGACGCAATATAGACATAGAGTTTATGTACTGCAATTTTATAATCAAAACAAGATAACCAAAAAAAAAAACCATTATTATTGCATTGCTAAATTGTTGTACAAATCAGTTTATTTTGTATTAGTTCTTTTCTGGATTAAAATGTTAAGCTAAAAACCCGTTCTGTCATGTTTATTTTTGTGTGCATTTGCTTACTGATATTTATCTCAGATGTGAGATAAACCACAAAGAAGATGATGCTAAACAGGGATTCCCTTCGCTACACACACACACACACACACACAACATTTTTTTTTTTGTGACTTCATCTGTACTATGTTTACATTCTTGCAAAACATATTCAAAGTTATCATATTCCTTTGCGAAAGTGCTATATCCACACACAGATGGTGTTCACAAAAATGCAAATGAAGTCTTATGAATTTTCCATAATGGTAATTCACAGTTGGAAAAATACTTTGCATAGTTTCATTTCTCATTGGATGTAGTGACCAACCTTAATCCCTGCATGTACTGTGGTTTGCCCATGGCAACAATTCACTGATTGTACACGTCGTGTTTGACTCACTCCAGTGGAAATGGTGTTTTCCGTAAATGCAAAATTCAGACATAGACTTTCCCAAACGCCAGAGGCCTACTGCAAATTAACTAAAATGTTTCAATTTCTTTTTGGTGGCATTTGTTTTTGGGTTATTCTGCTCTATTTTTCTGTGTATTTTTGCAAACTGTGTAATGACGTTCTCAAACTCCCTTGGGTTTAGTTAGGGTCTTTTGTCAAACTACAGTTTAGCTGCATTCAAACCTTTGCTTTTAAAGTCTTTTCTTCAACGTTTTCTCCGCGGGACATTGTTTATACCGAAAAGGACTTAAAGGGATAGTTCACCCAAAAACTAAATTCTGTCATCATTAACTCTCCCTCAAGTTGTTTCAAACCTGTCTGAGTTTCTTCCTTCTGTTGAACACAAGAGAAGATATTTTGAAGAATGTTGCAAACCTGACGTTTCCATAGGATCTTTTCCTTTTCCATAGAAGTCAATGGCTACCGCCAACTGTTTGATTACCATCATTCTTCTGTTTTACTAATTCCTTCAGTAGTTTCCCCTAAACGGGTGGTTTCATTATACCAGTTTATCCAGGAAAATGGATCCCACATACGTTTTGACGTTTCATACATAGTATACTTGTTTCTAGTATAATATTGTTCACAGTTTCTGTGGAATGTTCTTTTAGGATTGTTCTCGTTGTGAACCCCCTTTAATTGCAGTGAGTGGTGTTGGAAGAATTTGAGGTGCCCACTGTGAACCCTTAAAGGGTTAGTTCACCCAAAAATGAAAATTAAGTCATTAATTACTCACCCCCATGCTGTTCCAACCCCGTAAGACCTTCGTTCATCTTCGGAACACAAATAAAGATATTTTTGATTGAGTCTGAGAGCTGGATCAGTCCTAGATAGACTGCCTAAGGGACTGGCTCTTGACGGCCCATAAAGTCATTAAAGAAAAGGTTTAAATATTCCATGTGCCTACAGCGGCTCAATTATAAGTTTATCAAGCGACGAGACTACTTTTTGTGCGGAAAAAACATAAATAACGACTTTATTCGACTATTCTATTACTTCCTAATGGGCGCATGCGCGAAAACTGAGACGAGGACGTTCTCATTCGTCTACTTCTTGTTACCGGCTGCTCCGCTTAGGAGTTTTACCGCCCCCTACCGTATAAGATGATGATCCATATATAAGGCGCTCCGGATTATAAGGAACACTGTCGTTTCTTGAGAAGATTAAAGGCTTTTAAGTGCACCTTATAGTGCGGAAAATACGCTAATTGAAAAGCGTATGTACAGCGCGCATCTTCCTCTGCGTATAAACAGAAAGTTTTGCGCTTCCAGCTATATCAGCACATCATCTTATACGGTAGGTGGCGGTAAAACTCCTAAGCGGTGAGTAGCCGGTAACAAGAAGTAGACGAATGAGAACGTCCTCGTCTCAGTTCTCGCGCATGCGCCCATAAGGAAGTAATAGAATAGTGGAATAAAGTCGTTGTTTATGTTTTTTTCGCACAAAAAGTAGTCTCGTCGCTTGATAAACTTATAATTGAGCCGCTGTAGGCACATGGAATATTTAAACCTTTTCTTTAATGACTTTTCTTTAAAGAGCCAGTCCCTTAGGCAGTCTATGTAGGACTGATCCAGCTCTCAGATTCAATCAAAAATATCTTTATTTGTGTTCCGAAGATGAACGAAGGTCTTACGGGGTTGGTACAGCATGGGGGTGAGTAATTAATGACTTAATTTTCATTTTTGGGTGAACTAACCCTTTAATGTCTTTTTCTATTCTTTTCAATTCTTGCTCATAATTCACCTCTTTTAATCTTAAAATCTTTTTCGGGTCTTTTGCTGCCAATACATTTTCCGAACCCTCAATCATAGTGATTCAATATCTTTCGCCTGTTTTTTTTTCCCTTTTTACTTGTCCATCATATGTTTGTACATTAATTGTACCGGTCTTGTCTAATGGCTCAGCTGAAATTGAGACCTCGGCTCCCGTATCAATAGAATATTTCGTCCCCTCAATTTCAATATATAAATTTTCATCTTCTTCTATTACCCTGGGGTTACAAAGTCTTTCTTTCAGCTGGCCGGCTAATTTTCATTCTGTATCAGAGTCGATTTTCTCCTTCTTAGCTGCTTTGTCTACGCTCTCCTTTTTAGATTGCGAACGCTTCTCTGTCTTTTTAAGCACTTTATTTCTCCTAATTGTCCTTGTGTTTTCAGTTTTGTTCTTCTATTACTTTACTTCTCTCTGCTGGAGTCATATCGTCCCACTTTTCTGCTGAAATAAATCCTGTCTTTTGAGGGGTTCCCGTGTTCTTTTTCATCTCATACATCGCTTTCTTTGCTGTTTTAAAATTCTGCCTATTTCCAGAGAACTTATTTACTGTCCTTGTTTCACCCTGGAATCCTGTCATACTTTTTTAAAACCCACTTGTTTATTTAATTTTTAAATTTCTTTTTGATCTGTATCCCTTGATTCTGTTTGTTTTGCGGTGCCATTTTCTTTATTGCTTTTACGTGTCTCGAGCTAAGATCACATTGCGCTAATCTTTTCCCTGGTAGCATTGTTTAACAGTGTGACTAAACCGTGGCCGCCTGGAATCTTTCTTCCTACTTGTCTTAATCTCCTGTTCAATAGATAATCAAATTCCTAATAAAGGAATCTGCTCTTTTTGGGCATTAATGAGGGTTTTTTTTCCCCATTCTTTGAATTTGTCTTCTATACCTGTTAGATTCCTCATTCTCCCTAATGCCTCCGCCGAGATAGGCTGACCAGTGCAAGTTTGCACTAGCCTTGTAGCGGCATCCTGACTCAGCTGTGCAATTGTTGCTGCTTATCCGATCTGCATATGCACTCGGATCTTCATGTAATTTTTTCCCCCTACTTGCTTTCTTACTGCTTCCGTAAGCTGTATTTCTAGCAACTTCGCATGTACGCTAGTCTGACTCTCCTCCATTTCTTGATGAGTTGTAAATCCTAGTTGTCTGAACGGAGTTGTAAATCCAGGAGTTGCTGGCCTTCTCTGTGACTTCTGCCTCCCAGTCTTCCTCCTCCTCAGACCTTTCATTCCTTCTTATTGTTTTCCTACATTTTAACATTTCCATTTCTTTTGTCAGACTTTCAATTTCTGATTTTAGTGACATTACCACTTGGTATAATTCCTTAACTACTTTCCTATTATATTCATATCTTTCTTGATACAATATTCGCTTCCCTGTTTTAGACCATCCGTCCGTCTAGAAAAGATTATTTAAAGAAGACCCAGAAAGGGTTAAAGTACTTGCAGGTAACCAATTAACAGGTTTTTACTGTGGCGTTTTTCAATGTAAAAATGAGTAAAAAAAAAATGTACAATGCGAAATTTATATAATGCGAGTGTCTTTTCCCAAAACATTTGTTCACATGGAACATCAAAAAAACATAAAATAGTCCAAGGATTGTGCAATGTCAAGGACAGCAAGTTGCTAGTTGAGAGGTTTGGCCATGTGGGAACAAAACACTGAAATCATTTATCAGTATGCTTAATTCATCCCTTTTTTAAAGGGTATTACTGAATATATATATTTATTTATTGATTTCTTAAGTTGTCAAATTGATATGTCACTTTTGCCTTTATTCTTTTTTTATTTATGTTTATTCTATGTTTTTTGTGGTTCCCATGAGTGTAAAACAAATTCCCCCTTGGTGCAATAAAGGTTTCATTCATTCATCATTAATTAATAAAGTGCTTTACAAGTTTGACTGAGGCAAACTAAGCATGTGCTTGACCTGAATCCATTCAGCAACCCATTCCTCACACAGGGAGTTTCATTTCCTGTGAAACAGAAGTTTCTGCTGAAATATAATTGGTTGGACAGCTTCCATCTGACTGACCTTGGCCCAGTTTCTTCAACCCAAGACACTGCGGTTTTATATCGTCCTTCTCTGTGTGACCCAGAATACTGGGGGCAAAACTACGGCACCACTGGGCAGCACCACAACATCTCTTCACATTCACCATTTGTGTTCCCAGGCTTATAAAGGACTACTGTCAGCGACTCCTCTGTCTTTTTCATTCGTTTGGAAGTGCGCCATCAAACCGTCCATTATTCTCAGGAACTGGCTAATCACATACAGTCTGTCCCTCCCACAGCTCCACCGCTCTCTGTGAGAAAGAAAGAGTAGGAGAGGCAGGATGTGAGTGGGAGAAGTTCTAGATGAATAAAGATAAGGTATGTGATACTGAAAACTAGTTTTTTGGGGGGAAACCTGCAGCTTTTCAAGCCTAGGCAAAACGGATGAAACTAGAGAGTTGTTTTGTTTCCGAAAAGCAAGCACTGCAATTTTTTTTAATACTGTATAACACAATGCTGTGTTGAAAATCTACTCTACAACTTTGGGAAACCTCGAAAATTGCAGTAGAAGGACAGACGTCAACCTTGATTTTAAAATATTTTGGACGTGGTCTCAAAATAACAAACATAATTGATTCAGATCAGGGTGACATGTGATATCTTTCACAACTGCCATCAACGTTGGAAGACATTTTAGAGAGCCAAACTTTGGAGCAATGAACCTTGTGAAATATTTTAAACAGTATGAGCCAAAGCCAAACACATGT